GCTATACTATAAAGCTACAGTCATCAAAACAGTATGGTACTGGTATAAAAGCAGGCAAGTATACCAATAAAACAGCATTGAAAGCCCAGAGATAAATTCATGCATATATGGTCCACTAATATTTGACAAGGAAGCCAAGAATACACAATGGAGAAAAGATAGTCTCTTCAATAAATGGTGCTGGGATACTTGGATATTCACATGTAAAAGAATGACACTGGACCTATCCATATCTCACACGATTCACAAAAATTAACTTGAAATGGATTAAAAACTTAAACGTAACACCTGAAACCATTAAACTCCTAGAAGAAAACATAGGAACAAATCTCCTTGATATGAATCTTCATAATGATTTTTTGGATATGACACCTAAAGTACAAGCAACAAAATAAAAAATAAACAAGTTGGACTACATCAAACTAAAAAGCTCCTACACAGCAAAAGAAACCATCAATAAAGTGAAAAGACAACCTACAGAATGGGAAAAAATATTTGTAAAGCATATATCTCATAAGGGGTTAATATCCAAAACATATAAAGAACTCATACAACTCAATAGCAAAAATATATATATATATAACCCAATTAAAAAATGGGCAAAGGTCTTGATTAGCCATTTCTCCAAAGAAGATATACGAAAGGCCAACAGGTACATGAAAAGACACTCACCATCACTAGTCATTAGGGAAATGCAAATTAAAACCACAATGAGATATCACTTCACACCTATTAGGATGGCCATCATCAAAAAGACAAGAGATCACAAACGCCAGAGTGGATGTGGAGAAAAGGGAACCCTTGTGCACTCTTGGTGGGATTGTAAATTGGTAGAGCCATTCTGGAAAACAGTATGGAGAATCCTCAAAAAATGAAAAATAGAAGTACTTTATGATCCAGCAATCTTGCTTCTGGGAATATATCCAAAGGTAATGAAAACACTAACTCAAAAAGATATCTGCATCCACATGTTCATAGCAGCATTACATACAACAGCCAAGACATGGAAACCACCAAAGTGTCCACTGATGGATGAATGGACAAAAAAGTTGTAGTATATATAAATATATATACATATAGTGGGTATACACACACACAATGGAATACTATTCAGCCATAAAAAATGAGGAAATCCTACCATTTGCGACAACATGGACAGACTTTGAGGGCATTATGCTAAGCAAAATGTCAGACAGACAAAGACAAATACTGTATGATCTCACTTATATGTGGAATCTAAAACAAAAACAAAAACAAAAAAAATGAGCTCATAAATAGAGAACAGATTGGTGGTTGCCAGAAGTTCCAGGAGTTGGGGGGAAAGAGAATTGGAGGAAGGTGGTCAAAAGACACAAACTTCCAGGGGCCAGCCCGGTGGCGCAAGCGGTTAGGTGCGCACGTTCCGCTGCGGCGGCCCGGGGTTCGCCGGTTCGGATCCCGGGTGCGCACCGACGCACCGCTTGTTAAGCCATGCTGTGGTGGCATCCCATATAGAGTGGAGGAAGATGGGCATGGATGTTAGCCCAGGGCCAGTCTTCCTCAGCAAAAAAGGGGAGGATTGGCATTGGATGTTAGCTCAGGGCTGGTCCTCCTCAGAAAAAAAAAAAAAAAAAAAAAAAAAGACACAAACTTCCAGTTATACAATAAATAAGTACTAGGGCTGTAATGTACAACATGATGACTGTAGCTAATCCTGCTGCACGATATACAGGAAAGTTGTTAAGAGAGTAAATCCTAAGTGTTCTCATCACAAGGAGAGTTTTTTTCCTTCATCTTTCTTCTCTTCTTACTGTATCTATACGAGAAGATGGGTGTTAGCTGAACCTATCATGGTAATCATTTCACAATATATGTAAATCATGCTGTACGCTTTAAATTTATACAATGATGCATGTCAATTATTTCCCAATAAAACTGGAAAAAAAGAATAAAGTCAAGCGTGAACTTTGAACCTACAAAATATTACAGTTCTCATAATTGTTTATGAAATGCCAGTTTTAACATAAACATGATTTGGGCAGTGCAACAAATGCAAATCATGCGGAGACATGTAACAAATAACTGTGCTTCTCTATGCTTTTTATATAAATAAATGTTACCCACCCCCCAGGGTAAAACAGTATACCCCCACTACAAAGGTTAGCAAAAGCAAAAGGAAATTACATCCCAGATATTTCTGGGGCATATGCACGAAACACGTTTTTAAAAAGTATCAGACTTTGGGGCCAATTTCCAGTCGTTTGCTGACTGACGTAAATGTTCCCAACAGTCAGCCCTCAGCTTTATTAAATATAAAGAAATAAGCCCTGACTTTGCACTTATAGGTAGTTCAAATCAAATTTGTTACAACAAACACCAAAGACCCATCAAAATTCTACAGTCACATTGGAACTTTCATTGGATCAAGTGTTGTTTGAACGAAGGGAGTCATTTACAAAGGGTTAGGGATATTTCTGTACCACAGAAATTTAGATTGTTATGATAGTAAAGGGTTTCAACTACACACTGTCTCCTCCTATAGTGTCTAGAATTTGATAATTTCATAAAAAAGAAGGAAGTCTAGAGAAAAAGCTAAATGAAGTCAAATTTATTTTTCACTGCTTTTGTCATTCAACAAAGAAAAAATTTAAACTGATAATAAAGATAAAATGACAGAAGTGCTCCTTTTTAGAAATTATACAATGTCATCCAAATTCTTTACCTAACTTTTAATTAGTGAAAGCTGAATTTGGTCTACCCGCTTACCAAGAAGAAGTGTTATAAATTTTTTCATAGTTTCTCCCTCAGTTCCAGAAAGTTAGGCTCATATTAATATAGGACAACAGGAAAAATTAGAAAATTTATTTATTTATTTTCTGGTGAGGAAGATTAGCCCTGAGCTAACATCCGATGCCAATCCTCCTCTTTTTGCTGAAGAAGACTGGCCCTGAGCTAGCATCCATGCCCCTCTTCCTCTACTTTATATGTAGGACGCCTGCCACAGCACAGCTTGATAAGTGGTGCATCAGTCCGCACCCGGGATCCAAACCTGCGAACCCTGGGCCACCAAAGCAGAGTGCGCGAGCTTAACCACTATGCCACCAGGCCGGCACCAGAAAATTTATTTTTAAGGTTATTTTCCATTTCAACCTTCCTTTTCAGATTTTGTAAACTTTAACTTCTGAAAATTTACTTTTGGCATTCTCAGAAATATACATCACATCTCTTGATGAATCATATTCCTACAACAAAATTCTAAATTAAAAGTCAGTTTTAGATTCTTTTCAATAGATTAAATATATATTTTTATATAAAATTAAGATTTTTGGCACAGAGTCTAAGCTTGTAGTTTTCAGATTGTGTCTACACTGCTTTCCACTGATCAACTTGGGCGAGTTTGGGAAAGAAATTGTGTGCTTTACGAACTTGTACCTTGTGTGTTTATCCACCCCTCTGTCCCACGCCCAAAAATCTAGCAGTATTCCATGATTTTAGAACTTGAGAAAAAAGGGTAGAAGATTTACTTCTCTGCATTGGTGGGGTAGAAGAAGGGGCTAGAGAGCCACTGACGAGGATCTCTAAGTCCTGTATCTTTTTATTTAATTTATTCACGTTTTTCCACCAATAATACTGTGGTCACTTGTGTCCTTTGCTGCATCTCCAGTATGAATCCAAGGGACTACATGAGTGGCTTCATTTCATATCTAAACTCAGAAATTTAGAATCTTGTTCCAGTCAAGTTTTAAAGAAGGGTTTTTCAGAAAAAATGACAGGCCAATGAAATCTATAGTTTAAGAGACAGAGATTCAAATATTAACGTTTATAATGATTATGTTCCATTTCTTGTTTTTCTGCTGTACTTTTAAAAAGTGCTCAGATGAGTAGAATCCTTTTGTGTAGGAAGAATCTGAGTTACTACTTTATTGAGGGGGGCGAGGTAAAAAATTACAGACTAGTGCAAAAAAATTAACCTCCCACATTTTCCAAAGTGCTTCCTGAATAAAATCCAAAATCTGAATCACCATCTGAATAAAATCACAATCTGAAATCTCACCAATTTGTTAAACATTGGAATACTGCTTACATAAACTTTCATCCTTGTCTTCTTAGAGCCTCTGACCTGGATTCAAAGTTCTAGAATGTTCTACAGAAAAATTCTAAAGCAGGTGGTCATAGACGAGCATGAAAGGGAATCTCCTGCAGCCTCCTCCCAGTATTGCACAACACAAGACCTGCCAACAAGCTGTAAGCAGGCGCCGCCCTTCCTCCCCACACACCACACCAAGCCCACATGGGTGGAACGTCACCAAAGCTGCCACCAAGTCTGTTATACATGGCAAGCTGGTTTCACCCACACTGCCTTTCTATTTGCCCCATTTAAACATGAAGGGGAGATGGAATCTATACATCACCCCCAAACACAGGGCAGAATGAGGATTAAATGACAAAGCATCTTGACTCCGCCTTTTTCATAGGAATCTGCACTCTGGGAGCCAGGCCAGCTCATCTCCTCCACGTTCTGATTGTGTCCCCAGTCTGAGTCGTCGGGTGTCTGCTCCGTGCTGTGCTCTTCGTCTACCAACCGGTCATCAGCTCAGGGAGGGAAACTCCTGAGCCGATGGCCCGCCATCCTCCATGAGCTGCCCTTTACGCCTTGGAAAGATGTTCTGAGCATTTTTAGTGCCCTTCACTTCAAGACTCATTTATAGTTTTTATATTACATATACATATTTTTTTCCATAAATAAAATTTGAAACATCTAAGTATATATTAAAATTTTCACCAAGAAGGGTGTGTTCAAAATTGCAAGTTCTGTCATTCAAGTTCAAGAAAGGCACACATTTTTTTTCTTTAGGCTTGCAAAGAATGCAATTGCTAGCAAGAAGTCATACAAGACGTTTTATGGGATTTTTTGTCCCTTGAATTTTCCTCTTCTTGGAACAAGCATTCGTCCCATTAATCAGTGGCATGACTCTACTACCCAAAGAGGGATGCACAGAGGGTTTTAAATGGATTCCGTCGCCGCGCGGGGTCGGTCCCCGTGCGCGTCTGCTTGGGCCGTTTCCATCAAGGCTTGTCGCCCCCGAACCGGGCTTTCCGGTTTCCCGGTTCCGACGCCCTGCGGACCAGCCTGGGTGGCGGCTTGGGACGGACGCCCGCAGTCGCTGTGTCCTGCGCCCCCGGGCCACCCTCGCCCTTGGAGAGCAGCGGCTGGCGCAGCACGGCGGGGGTCTGGGTGCCCCCGTCTTGGCGGCGGGGCGCCAGGGGCGCGCAGGGCTGCCCCCGGCCGGCGTCCTCGTCCACCTCGTTCTTCCACTCCATTTTGTAGGACGGCGGGGCTTTCTTGGAGAACTGTTCTGGCAAGAAGCGCCTCGCTCGGGGCTGCAGATTGAGGACGGTGGTCCCCGCGTCTGTGTCGGAGTCGCTGCTGTCGCCACCTGCCACAGAGCAGAAGGAGGACGAGATGGGCAAGCATTTTAGGGAGAAGGTTTTCCAAGCGACTCAGCAACACGTTAGTGGGTCCTGCAGCCGCTCTGCCCTCGGGATCCAGGGGTTGGGCCGGGAGGTCAGAGGGCTCACTCCTGCTCTAGCTGAGAGACCTGGGCATGTGCATAATCTCCGGGAGCATTCATGTCCACAGAGTGTATTCATGCTAATTTTGGGGGGTTTTTTGGTGAGGAAGATTCGCCCTGAGCTAACATCCATACCAATCTTCCTCTATTTTGTAGTGGGATGCCTCCACAGCATGGCTGATGAGTGGAGTAGGTCCGAGCCCGGGATCCGAACCCATGAACCCCTGGCCACCGAAGCAGAGCTGGTAGAACTTTAACCACCGACCATGGGGCCAGTGGTATTCATCCTAATTTTGAAGAGCTTACTATGTGCCAGGCACTGTCCTAAGCGCTTTAAATGCATTAACCTATTCAGTCCTCACAATCACTCATTTTACTGAGTGAGAAAGATGAAGTAACTGAGGGTCAAAATACATTGGAGAGTGGTGGCCCTGGACATCAAACAGACCATCTGGCAGCAGCAGCTATGTTCTCACCTGCCCCACAGGGAGGATGCTAGGAGGGCTAGCTCAGGGGCACACAGTAAGCAGACCAATAATTAGCTGCTATTATGAAGATTCTTGTCTTGATCTAGAATCTCATATACAGCCTTGTTTATTGCTTTTATATTTTCATAAAAGGGTAAAAACACCAATGTGCACTTTCCAAAAATGGAAGGAGGCATGATGAGAACTAGCTGATTGTCAAAATTCAGGTACTGGAGTACTGCGGGTAGGACAGCTGATGGGATGCTCGCCCAGGAGCTGAGATTCTTGGGAACTGAGAGCATTTTCGAAGGAGGAATGGGGGTAACATGGCCGCCTGTTGGAAATAGCGCTCCCTTTCCCTCCCTTCTCATTTCTCACGTCGCCCTCCATTACCACCAGCCATATCAGACTTTTCTCTTCTTGGTTAATTAAATAAACAAGTAAAAAAAAAGAGGAGGGGTTATTATTATTACATCCCACATTTTAATAACATGATATCCTAACACATTTCCTCTGGGGTTCACAGAAAATGGCTTGGAGCCTACATAAAAATACCATCAAATAAAGAGATATTATTCCTCGTGTCAAAGCTTGAATAATTACAGACAGAAGTAAAATATATGGTCGCCTTTATGAAAATATATTAGGAGTATTGTAAACATTTAAATTAGAAATATTGTAAGAATCACTGAATTAAATTTAAACCGTTGAAGATTTAAAACTTTCTATTTACCTGTTCACTAACCACATGGTGACAATATTTGCTTTTGCTATTTCAAATAGAATCATTATGGAAAATAACGGATTAAATTATTTATAATGTGCACAGAACTCCACTCAAAAATGGTGCAATGCTAATAAAAGGTCACCATATTATTATTTCAGATTTGGAAACTACTGAACTCATTGTCTTTAATGAAGAAGAAGAATGGGGAAATTTTTTTTACTTTATAAACCTTAGTAATAAGTTTAAAGTCTTTCTGCTCCAACTGTATTCATTACCTGCATTAGAAATATTCTTTTTCTTTTGTAGTTTTTCTGGAAGCTTTGTATTTTTTGGTAAGGATAAATATCGGGAGGTCGAAGTGGAAGCCTGTAAAAGAAATACAAAACCTTATTTAGACTATACGAATGTCATTTATTGTTTAATTTTATTGTTAATTTATTATTTAAAATTTTATGGCAAATCGTATTGTTAAAAATTAAAATTTTAGTTCTCAGTTCCAAAATTATTTTGTGAGGGGCTGTAGGGATGAGGAACAAAGTTGCGAGCAATAGCTATTTTATTTAAAATAACTAAATCTCTTCTAAAATATAATGACATCAGTCCTAAGGAAAATGGAAATAAAATGGGACCATTAGAAACAAGATGCGAAAACCACTAGGTTTTCTTCAAGAAAAGCTAAGGAAACACCTGTTTATAAGAGTATTACTAAAAAGACTCAGAGCCTGTATGTATGGGGAAGAAGATATATGAAAAATGTAGCATATTTAAGTTTTGTTTACTTTAATAAGTCTTGAAAATGATAAAACAAAAGGTATTACTATAGCTAACTTGCTGACATTTCTAACACCACAGTCTCTAGAAATTGACTTTTAATGGATGCTGCCACATTTTACACACACAAAAGACAACCTTGTTCATACATAACTATTTTGATCTCTGATGACCCAATACAGAATATTATTAAAAACGAGATGCAATGCCTGCCATGTTACAGCAATCAATCATGAAATCATTTTGAAATGGCTTTCCTTATCTATTGACAATACCCTGGACCGTGTGAAATGCTGAGCGAACTGTACTGGGAATACGACTCCGCAGCCACTGCGGCCCTCCAGCAGTTCTAGCACACGCACGCGGGCTTGCCCACCCTTGGGCTGTACCTCTCCCCGGGAAGCGCAAATGTTACTTCACAAATGAAGCTTGGCCCAGCCATTCTGTTTAAACTTGTGGCTTAACTGACCCTTCCCTGTGCCCAGGCTCCTTCCTTAGCTCTTGTTTATTGTATCCATAGCACTTGTTGCCTTCTAACAAATTTACTTATCCTGTCTATTGCTGATTACCTTCTCCTCACTAGAATATGAATTCTACAAGGGAAGGGATCTTTGTCAGTTTTGTTCACGAATGTATTCCAAGTCTCCTAGACCAGGGCCTGGAACACAGGTGTTCGAGAAACATCTGAAAAGCCTTTATAATAAACTGCATCCCAGAGTTCCTGTGAATCAACCCTCAGCCACCATTCTGTCAGCAGATCCTCTGCAACAGCTGCTGGCTCTGCTCTTGGAAGCTTCTCCATCCCAGAGGCACAAACTCCAGTTACCCTGTGCTCCCGTTTCAAGCTGCTGTCTTTCCTGATGCTCTCTCGCAAACTGTGCCTTCGGCGGATCAGAATCTCCTTGGCTTGTCTCTCACTCGTGTCTGCCGTCAGATTGTGTCTGTTGTATGACAGAGTCTGAAATGAAAACACAGCGACATTTTACGAAAAACTGATCACTGCTCCAGAAATTCCAAAATATACTATATTTCTTTGGATTTGCACCTCAGCTAGCCACTTAACGACTGATGCATAGAGCAAAGAAAAGTATGCAAGTTCACATTCTTTCAAATTTTGAAAGAATTTATCTTCTAATAAAAGTCAGTGAATAAGTTTTTTTTTCCATTGAAAAGTGTCATCTTTACAAATGAGAAAAATGGTTGAATTCATCAAGTACCTCTGTCTACCCTGAAGTACTTTATATGTATTTACCCATCATTAGCAGCTGGGGAAAAATAATGCAAGTCATCTTCGTACGTTCTCTGTTCAACAGTAATCACTGGTATAAAAACAAACCACTTTGAACCACTTGGTGGTGCCATGTCCCTTTGATTAACGTAAGAACATTTCTTCTTTTCAACTGGGTTGTCAAATTGAGAAAGCTGCTGCCACCACCGCAATTATCATGCCCTAATATTTGAAGCAGTAAAATTTATAAACTAAGGCTATAGATGGCATACATTTTTAGTTTTATAAGCTATATAGAAATCTATTTCCTAAAATAAATTATAATTAGTAACTAAGTTCACTATCTGATAGAATTAATGTCTACTTCTTAGAAATATCCAAGCGTCCAGAACTATCTTAGGCCTGGTAGAGATATACAAAAGTAATATAGAACAATACTCAATTCCTACCTTGAAAAATTTACTATCTTAGTTGGGCATCTAAAGCTAACAAAATAATACAGACACATGAAACTGAGTGCTAAAATTATGTGGTAGGGTGCGAGCTCTAAGTGCTATCTCATTTAAAGACAAGGCTGGGAATAATATGGAGGGTGTTGGGGAAACCTTAAAAATTGGAGAATACGGATCAGCTGACAGGAAGCAGTGGGACATTCCAAGCAGAGACAGAAGAGAGCAACAAGGAATGAAGACAGAACCCTCCACTGCTGGTTAGGGTGTGTGGGGGAGGGAGATGTGGAAATAAGGTCCGATAAAGTGGAACCTGGAAATTGAGATCTGAAGTTCTGAGGGAATAGTTTAGCCTGAAAGCCACGACTGTTGTTTTGTTTCAGTTTAAATAGGAGAATGCTGTTCTTCAAAGGTGCTTTAGGAAAAGGGGGGAGCAACGGTAACGTAGGATGGAATGGGCACAGCCTTCAGGGAGACCAGCTAAGAAGCTACAGAAACGACCCCAACACGTGTGAGGAGGACTCCTGACAAGTGGCGTGGCCTGTGCCCACTTCACCTCGCTGTGCCTCAGTTTCTTCATCTCTAAAATGGAGACAACAGTAATACTTACCACTTGTTAAGGATTACATGAGTTAATACACCCAATGTGCTGAAATGGGGCTTGGCAAAAAACAAAAAATAAAAAAAAACCACCCTCTAGGAGTTAAGCTATATTACTAGCAAATTATTAGAATGAGGTGTTAACAATGGAAATGCCGTGAAAGAAGTGACTCAGAAGATACATTAAAGGAAGAAACTACAGCGTTTTACGAATAACAAAGAAGCTTAAATACATTTTAAAAAGTCTTCTAAGCTATAAAGCTATTTCATTAAAAACATTTTTAAAAAGCAATCAATTACTTTCTTCACCATTAGTTAACACACATTTTTTTTAGTATGTGTAGTAGTGGAACTCCCAGGGAACTCCAGGCTTTAGCCCAGTGTCTGCGAGGAGACAGGGACCCTGACAAGACAGGACGCTGTGAAGTGGGGTCTGAGAGAGGAGAAGACGCTGGTGTGGGACCCGCAGAGGTTGGCATAATGGGTGGGCAATAGCCAGTATAAGTGGATAGCATAAAATCAGAAGACATATTTTTAGCCAAAGGCAAGTAAATATTTTGCTAAATAAATTATTCTCACTCGTTGACGGATTTGATAAAGATTTCTTGATAATATTTCTCGAATTTCATCCATTTCACCAGGTGTGAGCTTCCTTATTGTTTCTTCACGACAGTCACTGTGCAAGTTCAGAAAAAGAATATTTTACTATTCCACAAATATTGGAATCATTGGTTTTCTTTCTTAGAGATATAATATTATTTAAGAAGAAGAATCAGTTTAAAGAATAACACTTAGGAATTATTCATTATTTTAAAATAATTCAAAATTCTAAAACTTTTATTTCAGTGTCAAAATCATTCATGATAGGTTTAATCATGCACAAGTTTTCACAGTGTTTATGCAATTATTTTTTTAAAGAAGAAAACTATAGTGGCTCATAATGCTATCACTTTATCATTTCCAATATTCCATAAATAAAGTAATATGGGATTATTTTTTCCAACAGAAACTTAATTAGCTATATTTTGCTATTATGGCCTGGTCTTTTAAATATTTCATTAGAAATATTTGCAAAGACACCTTTTGTAGTATGTACAGTTGTCCCTCTGTATTCGCGGGGTATTGGTTCCAGGAACCCCGTGGATACCAAAATCCATGGATGCTCAGGTTCCTTCCAAAAAATGGCATAATATTTGCATATAACCTTCCCACATGCTACTGTATGCTTTAAATCATCTCTGGATTACTTATAATACCTAATATAATATAAATGGTGTGTAAATAGTTGTTATACTGTATTGTTTAGGGAATAATGACAAGAAAACAAAGGCTGGAAAGGCCATCGTAGGCCTTTCCATCGGAGGTTGGTTAAATCCGCAGATGTGGAGCCCACGGATACAGAGGGCCAACTGTATGTATGCACAGTTGGTTCTCATTATTCAGGGATTCTGTATTTGCAAATTCACCTACTTTCTAAAATTTATTTATAAACACATTATCAATACTCATGGCACTCCCCTGTCATTCACGGACATGTGAAAAGTGTAGAAAAATTGGAGTTGCACAACATGCAGGTTCCCAAATGAGGCTGAACATGGCAATGCTCTGCCTTCTTATTTTAGCTCTCCTACCGTAAAAACATGTGCTTTTCACATGTCTATTTAGCGAAATGTTTTTCACATTTTTGTGCTTTTTGTGGGTGATTTTGCTATTTTAAATGGTCCTCAAGCCTTTTTTTTAAAAACTTTCAACAATTTATTTAAACTAAGAAAAACCCTAACAAACAGCAGCAGTTCACTTATTTCTTCCAGTTCCTACCCCCCACCAATCTGGCAACCAGCAATCTGTTCTCTGTATCTATGAGCATGTGCTTTTGATTTTGGGCTGCCTTTATTTTTTATTTTTTATTTTTTTACATTCCACATATAAGAGAGAACACATGGTATTTGTCTTCCTCTGTCTGACCTATTTCACTTAGCATAATGCCCTCGAAGTCTATCCACGTTGTCGCAAATGGCAAGATTTCATTCTTTTTTACAGCTGAATAATATTCCATTGTATACACATACCATGTACATATCTATTTATCCATCAATGGACACTTAGGTTGTTTCCATGTCTTGGCTATTGTAAAGAATGCTGCAGTGAACACGGGGGAACATATATCTTTTCAAGTTAGTATTTTCATTTTCTTCTGATAAATACCCAGAAGTGGAATTGCTAAATCATATGGTAGTTCTACTTTTCATTTTTCGAGGAACTCCCATACTGTTTTCCATAGTGGATGCACCAATTTACATTCCCACCAGCGGTGCACAAGGGTTCCCTCTTCTCCACATCCTCGCCAACACCTATTATGTCTCCTGTTTTTGATAAAAGCCATTCTAACATGTATGAGGTGACATCTCACTGTGGTTTTGATTTGCATTTCCATGATGATTAATGATGTCGAGCATCTTTTCATGTGCCTGTTGCCCACCTGTATGTCTTCTTTGGAAAAACGTCTATTCAGATCTTCTGCTCATTGTTTAATTGGATTTTTTGTTTCTTTGCTATTGAGTTGTATGAGTGCTGTACGTATTTTTGATATTAGCCCCTTATCAGATAAATGATTTGCAAATATTTTACCCCATTCTGTATGCTGCCTTTTCATTTCTTTAATGGTTTTCTTTGCTGTGCAGAAGCTTCTTAGTTTGATGTAGGCCCACTTGTTTATTTCCGCTTTTGTGGCTTTTGCTTTTGGCGTCAGATTCAAAAAACAGTCACCAAGACCTAAGTCAAAGAGCTTACTGCCTATGTTTTCTTCTAGGAGTTTTATGGATTCAGGTCTTAAGTTCATTTTTAATTCATTTCCAGTTAATTTTTGTGTATGGTGTAAGACAGTGGTCAAATTTTATTCTTTTGCATGTGGCTGTCCAGTTTCCCAATGCCATTTATTGAAGAGACTGTCCTTTCCCCATTCTATATTCTTGGCTCCTTTGTTGTAAATTAATTGACCATATATGTGCAGGCTTACTTCCGAGTTCTCTATTCTTTTCCATTGACCTATGTGTCTGTTTTTATGCCAATACCATACTGATTTAATTACTATAGCTTTGTAATATAGTTTGAAATCAGGGAGTGTCATGCCTCCAGCTTTTTTCTTTCTCAAGACTGCTTTGGCTGTGTGCGTTTCTTTTTTTTTTTTTTTTGTGGTTCCATACAAATTTTAGGATTATTTGTTCTATTTCTTTGAAAAATGCCATTGGAATTTTGATGGGGATTGCACTGAATCTGCAGATTGATTTGGGTAGAATGGACATTATAACAATATTGATTCTTCCAATCCATGAGCACAGAATATCTTTCCATTTATTTGCATCTTCTTCAATTTCTTTCATTAATGTCTTGTACTTTTCAATATACAGGTCTTTAATCTCCTTGATTTAACTTATTCCTAGGTATTTTATTCTTTTTAACGCAACTGTAAATGGGATTATTTTCTTTATTTCTCTTTCTGTTATTAGTGTATAGAAATGCAACAGATTGATTTTGTTATCATGCAACTTTACTGAATTTGCTTCTTAGTTCTAACAGTTTTTTGATGGATTTTTTGTGGTTTTCTCTACATAACATCATGTCATCAACAAATAGTGACAGTTTTAACTCTTCCTTTCCAATTTGAATGCCGTTTATTTCTTTTTCTTGACTATTTGCTCTGGCTAGAACTTCCAATACTATGTTTAATAAAAGCGGCAAGAGTAGGCCTCTTTGCCTTTTTCCTGATCTTAAAGGAAAGGCTTTCTGCTTTTCACCATTGAGTATGATATTAGCTGTGGGCTTGTCATATATGGCCTTTATTATGTTGAAGTACATTCCCTCTATTTCCATTTTTTGAGAGTTTTTATCATAAATGGATGTTGAATTTTGTCAAATGCTTTTTCTGCATCTATTGAGATGATCATATGATTTTTATCCTTCATTTGTTAATGTGGTGCATCACCTTGACTGATTTGCAGATGTTAAACCATCCTTGCATCCCTGGAATAAATTCTACTTGATTATGATGTATGACCCTTTTAATACATTGTTGAATTCAGTTTGCTAATATTTTCTTGAGGGATTTTGCATCTATATTTATCAAGGATATTGGCAGGTACAGGCATACCTCAGAGATATTGCAGGTTCAGTTCCAGACCACTGCAATAAAACCAATATCGCAATAAAGTGAGTCACAAAAATTTTTTGGTTTCCCAGTGCATATAAAAGTTATGTTTACACTATACCGTAGTCTAAGTGTGCAATAGCATTATGTCTAAAAAATACCTTAATTAAAAAATACTTTATTGCTAAAAAATGCTAACCATCATCTGAGCCTTCAGCAAGTCATAATCCTTTTGCTGGTAGGGGATCTTATAAAAATACAATATTTGCAAAAGAAAAGTATAATAAAACGAGGTATGCCTGTAATTTTCTTTTTTTGTGGTGTCCTTGTCTGGTTTTGGTATTGGAATAATGCTGGCTTCATAAAATGAGTTTGGAAGAGTTCCCTCCTCTTCTATTTTTTGAAAGAGTTTGAGAAGGACTGGTGTTAATTCTTCTTTGAGTGTGTAGTAGAATTCACCAATGAGATATCTGGTCCTGGACTTTTGTTTTTCGGGAGGTTTTTGATTACTGATGCAATCTCCTTACTAGTAATCGGGCTGTTAAGATTTTCTATTTCATCATGATCCAGTCTTAGCAGGTTGTATGTTTCTAGGAATTTATCCATTTCTTCTAGGTTGTCCAACTTGTTGGCGTATTATCATTCATAGCAGTCTCTTATAATCCTTTGTATTTCTGTGGTATCAGTTGTAAATCTCCTCTTTCATTTCTGATTTTACTTATTTGGGTCCTCTATTTTTTTTTTCTGGTGAGTCTAGCTAAAGGTTTGTCAATTTTGTTTATCCTTTCAAAGAACCAGCTCTTAGTTTCATTGACCTTTTCTATTGTCTTTTCAGGCTCTATTTCATTTACTTCTGCTCTAATCTTTGTTATTACCTTCCTTCTGCTAACTTCAGGATTCACTTGTTCTTCTTTTTCTAGTTCTCGGAGGTGTAAAGTTAGGTTGTTTATTTAAGACTTTTCTTGTTTCTTGAGTTAAGCATTTATCGCTATGAACTTCCCTCTTAGAACCACTTTTGCTGCATCCCACAAATTTTGGTATGTTATATTTCCATTTTTGTTTGTCTCAAAGTATTTTTTGATTTCTTCTTTAACCCATTGGTCGTTCAGTAGCATGTTGTTTAATCTCCACATATTTGTGAATTTTTCAGTTTTCTTCATGTAATTAATTTCTAGTTTCATACCACTGTGGTTGGAAAAGATGCTTGATATTTCAATCCTCTTAAATTTATTAAGACTTGTTTTGTGGCCTAATATGTGATCTATCCTAGGAAAATGTTCCATGTACACTTGAGAACAATGTGTATTCTGCTGTTTTGGATGGAATGTTCTGTATATATCTGTTAAGTCCATCTGGTCCAACATGTCATTTAAGGCCGATATTTCCTTATTTTTCTGTCTGGATGATCTATCCATTGATGTAAGTGGGCTATTAAAATCCCCTATCATCATTGTATTGCTGTCTATTTCTCCCTTTAGATCTTTAGGCTCCAAGCATAGTTCTAAAATGCTATCTAGTGTTCCTAAGTGCAA